AGAGTGTTTGTTCGAAAACGGTGATTAAACGGTGAGAAACAGATGGAAGAAGGCGGGCATACGCCGAAGGAAGCCGTTGCAATGGAAGATCATCTCCATCTCACCTTCAGCTGGGTTACTGCAAGTGCAACGTTCGCCCTGTGTTTTGTCCTTGTCTCAAGTCAATCAACCCTCTCTCAATTGGTGGTAAAGACGGCAAGGATGTGGGGGTATACTATGAGCACAGATGGGGTCCGAAAAAGCTGGATCCGGGGGGGGGGGGACTCTTCTCCTGTAAGGGGGCAGCGGCCGACATATCGCATGTATGGTATGTATGTAAGTTGCAAGCCGTTGGATCTCCTCGACGATCACAGTCATCGAGAAGCACCACGCTCCCCATCCAGGAGGCAAACCTCTTCCCACCAACGCTCGGTTCCAGTTCTCATCAAGCTGCTGCTCATCTCATCAGGCCCCCCTCCCCATCCATTAAGAGTCGCACACACACACACACACAGACCTCATCCCGCCCAATTTAGCCTGCATGTTCCCGTCTGCAACACGTCCTACGGCTTTTACACAAGGCAAGAAAGCAGCCCTATCGAAGATTGGTAGGAATCACCCAGGGGCCAGGTGACGCCGATCCGCCCGCCTATGCCTCAGCGCAGAGCCTGTCGCTTCGAGCACAGAAGCTTGAGGGGGGGGAAGCGCATCATCATCACGGGGTCCTAGTTGCTTGCTGTCCCCCCAGCGATCGACTTTGGCCCCTTTGATCCTCGCTGCCTATCCACACCTCTGGGGCTATGACTTCACTTGCATCATTCATCGAGATATGCACGTTCTCCATCGTCTTTCATAAGACAAATCGACGAGACCAAGATAATGAACATCATCAGTGTCGGGCGATATAGTAAGTACTGTTCTGATAATACGACACCACCTAATCAAACGGCGCAAGGATCGTTTCAACTTGTCCGTCTCTTGTCCTCACCCAGCCACCCGGCAAAAACAGGGCACCAACAAGAATCAACTTACACGGAAGCCGCCCGAATGCCAGCATCTTCCCTCCCAAGCGCAGCTCAGCTCCGGGCACCGGTTCCCCAGCTTATTCTCTAGCGTCTGGGGAAAAGGAAACCAAGGCGTAGAAAATCGTTCGTGTCTCGGCTTCTAGCGCAGTTCAGCCCACGGTAGAAAGAAACAGAGACAGAGACGAAAACACACACAATAAAGGGATCTAGCGAGTATGTAGACTCTACTTCGCTTCATCAAGCACAAGAACCGTGAACGAAGCCTAAGAGGAAGAACAACTGCAAACACTAAGCCGAATTATTATTATTATTATTATTCCGTGCTTGTAAATGCTCGTATGCAGCATTTTTTGGCCTGGGGCAGCGGAGACGGGGACCCCAGATTCATCTTCTTGGCTCGGTGCAGGTTCCAACGTCTAAGCCGTCGTGTGCATAGTTGCCCTGCGTGTGCCCGGATGGTCCTGTTCCCCAGACATGGCGTTCTGATGACTCGCTTTATTTAACAGTTACATGAAAAGTGGTGTTATTACTCAACATCATCGGCTCCAACTACCGCATCAAAGTAGATCTGAACATCCTTCGGAACGAGCCATACACCCCAATAGTGCAAGCCAAGTTCCCAGGCAGCAACAAAAGAAACTAAGGAACGGAAAGCCGCCAGACTTGCAAACCTGTGTGGGAGTTGACTCGCAAAAAAAAAACGCACCATTTGCCCAATGGTTTGCAAAGGCTCGGCAGTAGACAAGAGACGGACAGAGAAACGCCCCCCTTTTTCTTCCATGACACACACCTCAAAGAACATTCGCGCTATCCAAACGGCGCAGACATCCGCCCATCCGTTTGGGCTTTTTCTTTTCTTCTCGCCTGGGCCAGTTCTTCGTTCGCATGTCAATGTGAAGCCTGAGTTTCGTAGGCAATTGAACTAGACGAAGCCATTTCAATGACCGGACATTCGTGCCCTCCAACCAGATCCCCTTCCGCCTCATTCCGAAAACCATTCGTCCTTGTATTTGGCAGCAATCCATGAACAAATCAGCCATCCTCCTTCCCCCTTCACCTTTCGGCATCTAGACAAGCAAATAACCTTAAAGCACCGTGATAGCTGCCCAATTCCCCGTCTGTTCCGATCCAAAGATCGAGACATCTCCCTATGTCAAGTATCCAATCATCATCCCTAGTTCACCTGAACAAACCCATGCATTAAAGAATCGCGGAGAAGAAGAGATATATCCACGACGATACATCCGGCAACCGGCCCGTTGACCACCCCCCATAGCAATCCGGGGAAAGCTTTCACACAGCTCGCAGCTCGTGTCCCCAAAAGAAAGTATCAAGCCACAAAATCACAAAGGGCGACAGGTAGGATGTAGCCTCATAGGAACAAATAAACGGCAACAAAAAGCGAGCTTTGCAATGCTTATAATAAATTTTCCAGCAACATAGCACAACGGGGGGTTCATCCTCAATTTTCTTGACTATCAACACATCTCTTCCGTCATTCAATCCATTAATCTGTCGTGACATCCAATTACTCAGATCCTCGTCGACTACAACTACTAATACGAACCCATCTTGCAAAACACCCCCGATACGAACTTGAAGCTATCAAGCGGATCCCCGGATCCCGGCGCGGTGGCGTAGAGCAGCTCTCCCCATCTCATCCCCTCCCCCATCTTATCAGAGGCAGGAAGAAAAAAGCAAGGGCAAAAACGCTCCAAGAACAGCACAGAATCGAAAAGTCTAGATTCTTCCTCCTCTTCCCCTCTTCCCCCTCTTCCCCGTAAAGACAGAGAGCTCTACATAGTTCAACGGGCCGCCCTAGAGCTCAGCCTCTAACGACACGCACACGGCACCTTGTAGCATCAGCTGTTTTTTTCCTTTCGAATCTGCCCCATTGGCCAGCCTCATGACGCAGTTTTTCCTCCTCTCAATTGCCCAAGTTAAATCAACCAAATTGCCGCAGCCTTATGGATATCAATCTCCGTCTTCAGCATCTACATGCTGCTGCTGCTGCTCCTCAGTTACATCCGACCCACTGACTCAACCTCGATCCATCAAAACAAACAAAAGTCAGGAACAAATCCAACGAATCAAACGACACGCAACCCAATCAACTTGAAGATCCCGTAATCCACCCACGGAAGTAGTACTAATAGTACATACGTGCAAGTGTTATTACTGCTGTTGTATGTATCGTATCCCACCCAGCTCATCCACCAAAAACGGGACCCCGTAAAATCCCGGAACAACACACAACACAGTATAATCACCCACTCTTCCTCCCGACCTCTCTCCTCTTTGCCCGGCTCCCTCGGTGATCTCTACGTATACGTATGTACTCGTACAGTGACCAAAAATCCCGCCCGGCTACTGTCCGTTCGTCGGAACCGCAATCTGAGAACTTTCAAGTTCGGGAGGAAGACCGACCCCATGTCACTTTCACGAGCTTTTTTTTTTCTCCCATCTACAGAAAATCTCTTCACCTGCATGTACCAGACGTATGTACATACAGTACCTCAACACCTTTCAGCACCTGTAAGGTAGGTCTGTCCCTCTTCACCGCCACGACCTCAAAACATCAAAAGCATCCAAGTGGAAACCCTTAAACACAAACCTTTTGCAAGAAGAAGGGTTAAAAAAAAAAAAAAAAGGAAATCCTGCAGCATTGTGGATAAGGATGACTCGATAGAGGAAAAACCGGGGACACAAACGTCCTTCTATGCACCAGCACCTTTTGTTGTAAATGCACAGCCCTGCCTGCCCACGATAGGTAGGCACGGCCTAGGTGCCTTTAGTAATAGTAAGAAGTAGGCACACTTTAACGCGAAAGAGAAGGAAGAGAAAGAGCGAAGAAGAAAAAACTTTTCATCGTGCGTGCATGCATGTACCTTGTATGCATGCATGGGCTGCTGCTGCTGCATTGTCTCCAGAGGTACATGCCGAAAAGTAGCACCGAGCATCAGCCATCAAACCATCCCGTTCCGAGTCCAAGTTTCTCCTCCCTTACTGGGTCCCCCCTTCCTTCCACCGGCAGTCAGGTACTCGGTACTTGTTCCCAACGGTAGTCATACGCCAAGAAACTGAGTAACAACGACTTCCTTCTGCAGATAGAATCACTTCTTAGTCAAATCCTCAAAAAATCGTAACCGAAAAAAATCGAAATCAAATCAGTCCCCCATGTCATTCCGCCATCGTCATCCCGACACTTTGCTCCCAAGTCACAGGGCACATGCAAAAGGACAACATGATGATTGTGTTTGTTAAACATTTATTAATGTTTTTAGTTAAAGCTGTCTATCTTAAAGACACCTTTTTTGGTGGTATAAACCTTTTGGCATCATGTCGTAAGAAGGAAAACATTTTGTGAACAAAGACCCACGGGAGCTCCTCTTTTCGGCCTCCACTAGCCTTGTAATCGCTTTGCTGCCTTCTTTTTTTTGGTCTCCTGTAGACCAGGTTGCAGGGGAATTTTCTGTTGCCCCCCGCTCATGTCTTCGCTGAGAAATAAGACAAAGGAGAATCGAGAAATGAGAAAAGAAAAAGTGAGAAAATTTTCCTGGCCAAGGTCGCCCCTGGAGACACTCGCATCTTCCCGACCAACACTAGAATACACGTGGTTCAAAGTAAAGAAAAAAAAAACAGGGTCATTGTGAGCCGTCGAAAGGCTCAATCCATGGTATCATTCGAAAAAAGCAACGCCTCGTAAAGGTGCGAATGTTGTTTTGTTTTCAAGGTGTCTCAATCAGACATTATGAGAGACCAAAGATGGAACAAGAAAGGGAAGATGATGTAAGATGAAGAAGAAGGTGATGTCGCTTCAGTCATGACGTAGTTCCGTTTCGCCTGTGCAGTCCATGTTGTGCTGCCATGATGGTGTGAAACCGAAACCCCCCAAACGCCAAAATGTTGATTTGATATACATGGCCAAGGCACGTATGATTTCTGATTAAGCCTTGGCTACGGATGGTTGTAGTGTAGACCGGTGGTGGTGGTGGTTTACCAGCCCTTGGAGTGGTAGCCGTTGTTGGCCTCCTTAGTGAAGTACTGGTTCCAGCTGCTCGCGTTGACATCCTCGCTCTGCTTCAGGCACGGCCTCTCTGGGTACTGCTTCAGGTTGGCCACATCGTGCGACGTGTGGCGACGCTTGAGGACAGCGTTGGCCGTGGACGACTTCTGCTGTCGCTCCCAGAGGAGGTGGCGGCGAAGAGACTCGGTGAGCTCGGTGGCGAGCATGTTGCGGCGGGTAGTGCGGGGAGAGAGCGCGGCCTGGGCATGGACGTGGTTGGCCGTGGCGGTGATGGGCTGTGCTGTGGATCGAGGGATCTCGTTGATGGGCTTAAGTGTTGACTGGCGCATGCCCTTCATCATGAGAGGACCATCGTCCGAGTCGTTGGGTGAGCCAGCCATGGAGGGCCCGTTCATGACGGACCGTGACCTGGAAAGAGCCGAGGTAGACTGGGAAGCCTGGTTGCCGAGGTTCTGGGCGCGCTCGTTCTGCGCGAGCATCAGGGTGATGAGCGACGGTCGCGACGTCAGGTTGGCCTTGGACGGGACGCGCTGGAAGAACTTCTCATCGACGCTGGGCTTGCCGCTCTCGTCAATGGAGTCCTCCCAGTCAGACGAGTCGTCGTCGTCGTCAATGGCGCTCTCGTCAATGTACTCGCCCTCGGTGTCGGAGTCAATGGCAGACTCGGCATCGAGGTGGTGGGTGATGTTGTTGTTGCTGAACGACGTCTGCTTCGCCGCAGGGGGCAGGGCACGGCCGCTGGCCACGGAGCTGTCTTCCCCGGAGGATCCACCAATCTGGAATGTTGGCTTCTTGGGGGGAGGCATGACAGACTTGCGAGTCTCGACGCTCTGGTCACACTCGCTCGATGAGTAAGAGACGCCACCAAGGGAGAACTTGGCGGGCTGCTTCTTGGACTGGACGGGCTTGTGGGCTGGTGATGAGCTGGGCTGGGGAAGGCAGTCGTCGGTGGAGGCGGCGGGCTTGGGAGGGTGTGTCTGGAAGACGGGAATGTCTTTGGGGGCTGACGAGTCCATCTCGGAAGCCAAAGAGACCTCAGAGGGCTGTTCAGAGAAGCGGGACTCGGTGGTGGTTGAGCCAGATCGGGTGATGGAGGACTCGACCGGCTTGTTCAGGGAGGCTTGGGAGGGGGCGGAAAGGGGAGCCTTGTCCTTGACAATGGAGACGACCATTTTCTCAAAGTCGTCGGAGCTGATGTGGCGATCACGTCGGCTGGCGGAAGAGTCCAGTCGCTGTATCCTGGGGCGGATCTCCAGGGGAGCCGATACTGAGTTGAAGTCCAGAGCGTCCTCGTCCACGAGGGAGTCGACGCTGCCGGACAGCTGGGGGAGCTCAGGGAGCTTGGCTTCTGAGGGAATGGCCCGGGGTGCTGCCGGGGCTGACAGGACTGGCGATGTCCTGTGGGCGCTGTCGATGAGCTGCTCTCGCTGCCAAAGCCTCCAGCTCAGGTTCTCCAGTCTGCGGCCTTGCTCTACTGAATCGGCACAGCGGGAGAAAACTGAGGCACTGCGTGTTAGTCCAGATGCACGGTTGCTATTCATCCTTGACGCCTTGTCCTCACCTGTCCACATAGAATACAGATTGGCAGGGTTGCCGGTGTCGACCTTGTGAATGACGTTCGCATCCACTGTTAACACGTGTGTGTCCAGGCGGTAGGGCATCGCTACCGAGGAGAGTTGCTCGAAGGTGTCGAGCGGTGGGTGCGCGATGCTGGCGAGGTCAGGGTTGTTGGTGGTGGTGTTGTGAGAGGAGCGAAGAGGCTGCGGCAGGTGAAGCTGCCGGGGATTGGTGCTTGGACTCTGGCAATTACCAAATCCAATCGTCTCCAGAAGTGCAGCGCTGCCAATTGACGACAAATCTCGATCGCAGAGAGTGGTTTCGACCTGGCGTTGTGCAAAGGCCGAATGCGTATTTATATGGGTCGTCGCAGAAGAGGGGGGGAGAGAGAGAAGCGGTGCGAGAGAGTTGAGTCGAGGCGGATCGAATGCGGATGATGTGCGACAAGCTGATGAAGAGAAGGGACTCGAGCACAAGCAGACAGTTGAAGCTGTTGAGCGTTGTTGCAAGCTGTTCCCACTGAGTGAGATGGGTATGCGGAGAGATGGAGAATCAAGAAGTCGTCGAGAAGCTGGGGAATGAGATCTAGTTATCAAGAGTAAGGTAGGGTGTATCTTGGGCAATGACAGGTTTAAGAAGAGGTGGATTGATGGGGGGGGAGTGCCAGAGGGGACGTACCGCCTTTCACGCAAGGGCAGGCGCTCGCAGCCACGCCCGGGGGGTGCACAGGCTGGGGCGTGGCGTCAGTGTTGGAGGGGGGGGCGGTACCTGGGTACTTGGGTACCTGGCCGCGGAACCGGTACGTACCCTCGCTGGCACCCTTCCCCCCCGGCACGGAGCACGGAGGCGCCGCAAGGTGGGCATTTGGGACGAAGTTGCTGTGGGGGCCCAGCGACAGCAAGTGCCAGGCCAGAGCGTGCGGATTCCAGGGCAGGACGCGCAGGGGCTGCCGCACTCTGAGCTGCCAGAAGGGGCCAGGAGAGGGATAAAAGCCTGGTGGGCTGGTTCGGAGAGGTGCCGCCGCTTCCCCGGAAAGATTAGCGCAAGAGCCAGCTATACAATGCTTTTCCAAAAGAAGCACTACTTGGGTCCCGCACAGAGAGAATGCAGCCGTTACAGGAATAGTAAGGTTAACATAGGCTAGTCTCCTTGGGGAACTGCCCATCTACGCTGCTCTCAGCTCTGTAGCCCTGCCATCCCAGCACCACGTTTGGCCCTGTCGCGACGGACGCAATCATGTGACGGTCCCCTTGGGAGAGAGAGAGAGAGAGAGATGCCGTTTTGGACGAGCAGAACGTCCTTTGGTCCAGATCGAGTGGGTAATTCCCCTTTTGGAATAACCGCCCATCGGACCAGCAGCGCTGTTCTGCAACAAGTAATTGTCTGCCCGTTCAGGCAGTGCTGCGAGCTGCCAACCGGTCCGTCACGCGCAGCCGCTTTTTCTTTTTGCCCATCCTGTGCCAGCCATCCTCTCGCCCCCCGCAAACGGTCCAAGCGCTCCGTTCGCCAGGAGAAACGGTTCCCAGGGTCTTTTCCTCCGTTTCAACGCCCTCCCCCGCCCGAGAGACGGATGCCGAATCCGTCCCATCACCCAAACTCGGCCATTCGCTTCACCATCTCGTGCCTTGCCCATCATATGCTGAGCGTCTGGGCGGCTTTCGGCTGCGGTGGCTGCAAAAGGGCCTGGACAAGGCACATGTGCCCTTTGCGGCTCCGGCGTCGTTGCGCTCTCGGCATTCGGGCGGCTCCCAGAGGGCTTGTCACGCTGCTCTGCACAGACGTGTGACCGGCCATGGCGAAGGCATCGCGCTGGCAGAGGCGAGATTGTCTTGCAATTCAATCTTAACCGCCGCCGCTGTCGCTGGCCGTCGGTCACTGCCTTGTAGCGGCCTGCGAATGAGCCGTCGAGACGGTACAACTACATACATACATACTAGTACAAGCATTGGTAGCCCGTTCGTACGCAGCAGCAGCATCTTGCCCTGTGGTGCTCATCGAAAGGGCCAATCCACGCTCCCTTAGTTTGGACCGACGGCTATTCAAAGGGTCCCCCCCTCTTGTGTCTCTCTTGTCTCGAGCCGCTCGGCGAATTGAGGCGTGCTACTTGTCACCAAGGTAGCCGTCCGCAGCAGCTCCTTTGCCCGTGTACGGCCTTGTCAAGTACAGCTCACAGGCTGGGGGAGCCGCCGTGGATGTGACGTGCCCTGACTGGGGGCCAGAAGCCCAGTCCGGGGGTGCTTCTGATACATACTATTACGGAGTACTGACTGACTGACTGGTCCAGCACACAGGCCAGGTGACCCAGCCCTGCTCGAATCGCCGCCGTCTTTGGTGATCACAGAGCAACGAGGGCAGGCCGCCGGACAAGGCCCTCTGCCTGGCCGGTCGGTCGTGGCCTTGTCCCTGCCTCGCCTCTTTGGTCGAGAAAACGGGCCGGATGGCGGCGTTGGTGCTGGCGGACGCCGAGTGAGGAGGCCTGTCCCGCTGCTTCACTCTGCTGCTGCGCCGCCTGACCCAAGAGAGGGCACCCGGGGAAATGACATTGACTGGCAATTGCTTTCGGCCATGCAGCTTCGGGGATCATGGGGGCAGCGCAAATGGGTTTGACGATGCTGTCCGTCCTCGTTGGCACATACCTCCCAACTGCTACGGTGCTCATACGTACGTGGGCCGATTGCCAGAGCCTCGCGGGCTGCAACATCTCCTCCTCCTCCTCCATCTGCCCAGGAGGGGGTGACATTGAGGCCTTGCTCACCCAGTCCCTCGGCGCCAGCGCACCAGCGAAGTGTCTGCGACAGTCGGGTCACCTGTCCTATCGTCCGCCTTCATGGAGGTTACTCGCACCAAAGGGACCCAAAGGTACTGTCTACCCAAAAGCACACGCGCCCACACGCACACGTCTGGCCGTACAAGCCCCTACAAAGGCCATGGCCGGGAGCGGTATCAGTTACTCGGACTGGCAGGCTCCTCATGCTCTCCCGTCAGGGGGGAGTGCGACTGAGCCAATGCTTTGCAGGGTCCTCCCCGACCCGCCCAGCCATTGGGTCACCAGGACACCTCTGTCCAGAGCAGAAACAAGCTGCAAGCACCCAGAGCTTGCCAACGCATAGCTCTCCGCCGCATGACCTCAAAGACTTTTTTTTCGTCCTCCTTTGGTCCACGGCCTGTTGCTCTGTTTTTTGTTGTTTTTTGTTGTTGTTTTTTCTTTCCTGGCACTGCTGCCTCTTGCCGCTGCTCGCCCTCCCATCATGGAACAAGAATAGACAGGCCAGGTGCAGCATCCTCAATGACCCTTTTGTGGCCAATGGCTTTCCGTCATGTCCCGCATCGGGCATGTTGGCTGCCGCAGCCTTCGCAACTGGTGATTAATGCCTCCCTTTTGTCCTTGTTGTTTCTGTGCATGTACTTTGTATCGTGAGGAGAGGGGGGAACAAGCCGCGCAGAGCCAATCAACGAAGTCGAAAATGGCATCGCCACAAGAATCCCCCAAGCCTTTTCGTCACTGCCAATTGGACCCAGCTTCAGGAGTCTGATCAGTCAGTCAGTCAGTCAAGCCAAAAGCAGGCAGCAGTTTAATGCTTCCTTTTCCCCACGGGGTTATCATGGCCCAGCTCTAGTGGTGAGACCATTTTTCTTCTTTTCCTGTTCCCAATGGCTGATTCTCTCTCTTCTTCCACAATAGAACCTAGTTGCGGAGCAATACGGAACACAGGAGCACTCACTAACAACAAAGAGAGGCTTCTAGACTTCTCTCATTAGGCAATCGACTGCTGGGCCGATTTGTAGTATGTAGTAGTATATCGGCTGAAGTCCGCCTGGCGGATGAGCCCATTTGTCCCCGGCCCTATTTTGCCTGTAGTGCTTTGAGCCTCTTCCCCTGCCAGAACAAGGCCTGAGAGCAAATATAACCAGCGATATGATACAGTAGCTCCCAAGAATCCGGGCCCGCGGAAGCTCCCCGCCTGCGATTAGCTTCCCACCTCTCAAAAAAGCCAAGTCTAGAAGTTCGAGAGCAAACAAAAAAAGAAGAAGGAAAAGAGTTTCCGGGCGTGTGGGAAATTAGACAGGACCGGCAGCCCGGATCGCGATATTACGATTTAGAAGGGAAAGAAGAAAAGAATGACAGAACAAGGGAAGAGTCAATCAGAGGGAAATGTCCAGGTATTATTACATAGTAGTAGAAATGAACCAGCCCCCCCGGACATGTCAAAAAGCAGTAACAGTTGCAACATTCTGCCTTTTACACGCAGACGGAGCGAAACGTAAGGTATTGACATCCAAGCAAGGCAAAGTTCCCCTTTGCCATATCCCGGTCCGCCCATTCGTCTCGTCTGTATTATGCGTGACCGTGTCCGTGCGCATCTGTTTCTTTTGGCTCGTCCGTTTTGTTTTTTCTTTGTTTTTTACATTTTTTTTTTCTTTCGTTTTCTTTTCCTGCTTCAGCAGCGTCGAGTGAAGCGAGGGCCTCCGCTGCAACATTTACGTACTACCAAGTTGCCCTGGTCATTGATAGCGGCAATGCAGGTAAGCCGAGCCAAAGCCACAAGCAGTATAGAACAGAGGGGGCAAACAGAACTCGAGGCATCTATCAATCATGCACCAACTTACACGGACTGCCGCATGAAGAAAGTCGACGGAAAGGCGAGAAAGAGGGGAGCGGTTTTTTTTCTTTACACGTCTCACCGCTCGGGCTGTTTCCGCCATTGAAATCTTTGTGGCTGGCAAGGGTAGGGGAGGGAAGGGCAAGGGGGGGGGAGGCGTTGGTTGAGCTGAAGAAATCGAGTGCCGGCATTGCAGGTATGTAAGCATTGAATCGGTGATGGGGTCTCTTTGGCCTCTGTGGCAGAATTGACGATGGCGATGGGCGATGGCGATGCTCGGATACGGGGGGTTGACTGTTTGCCCTTGAAATTTGACGGAAGGTGTTCCGTTCGTATTGAGGAGGGAAAGTTGGCGGTAACTGCACGACAGAGAACCTTTTCCGCTGGCGAATATTCTCCAAATATAGAATGCAAAACACGATGGAAGTATGAAGAAGTGAATCGATAAGGATGGAGTAAGTGCGTACCTTACGATGATGACGAGAAGCAAATGTAACGTGCCCCGGCCGAGAGCCCCCATCCAGGGGGGTTCCCTCGCCTTATCGCCAAAAGCCGGCTCAAGCTCTCCTCATGGCTCTTATCCAGACGTTCAAGGTCCATGTAGGCCCCCGCTTTTCGCATCGAGCACGTGTTTTCTCCCAACTTGCATTTCACACGAGATTATTCATTCAGTTCTTGGCTCTCGATTCGATGGAATTGTTCGACGTCCTTTGACCAACAGCATTCTTGCCCCGGGGGAAAAGGCGGGGGAAGCGGCAAAACGGTTCCCGAACTTGGCTTCTTTCATTTCTTGGAGTCGTAGGGATGCCATGCTCTGCGGCTTGTGATTAACGAACGAATACCTCTCCTTTGCTGGTGTCAATGATGATGATGGGATGTAATATGAATCGACTGCAAAACGGCTGATGAGAGTAAAGCAAGGATACAACCAACAACACAAATGAAA